ATACCTTTAGCGAATATTCCAAAAGATTTTCTTTGAATTTTTCTGCTGATTTTTCTAAACCTGATGGTGTGACAGTCTTTCTGATCTTCTCGATATCTCTGCTTTCTATGAGCTTAATCAGCGGATCATTGTTAACTTGCTGGTTTTCCGACTCGTTTTCGTTCTCCGACTCCGACTCTGAATCCAACATGATGTTTTATTTCTTTTCTTTCTCACTAGAACACGACCTAAAATTGAAAATCGTTTTATTCTAAATGTACACATTATGTTGGGTATTTAGTAGCAGGTAAATTGTTTTTAGCATTTTCTTACGTGTACATTAATGTTTTCAGTTGAGCATGCCGGTTCGAGAGTGCCGCTTTCTAAGAAAAATTATTTGTCGGTCTCTCCGACAAACAACTGAAAAGCTGCAAAGCGCCACATAAGCACTAAGAAGTGTCTGGATGCAAATCATTCTAATTTACTGAATGGATCCTTTCAACATCTTTTAAATTTCAAGTTTTAAACTTCATACTATTAAGACAGACTACATTTAGTCTGGTCACAGACCATTTTTAGCTGCGCTCCGTTGAACTGTTGTTCTCGGGAATTAGGATCCAGAAGAACTCTCATGCTCACTGATCACACAATAAGAAACAACTAGGTAATTGCAGGAATTATATATTTTGCACGAGCCCCAACACGTAAAAAAAAAACAATTTGTGTGCTAATCTTTTTAAGTAACAATGCGCTAAATAACTAGGGAACTCTCTATTGTTCTGCGGCATTGCAACTTCCCCACATACAAATGTCTTGGTTTTCACACTGATTATATATCAACCTTTGGGTAACACATTTTTGAAATAAAATGTGGATAAACTCTATTTTGAAACAAAGTTTCTTTTGTATTAAAAGCTCTTATCCAACCATAAGAACTCAAAACAATAGCCAAAAGAAGCTTCTAATTTGCTATGTTCCCCACATAGAATTGCCTCAATGTTGTAGCTAAAGAAAGCTTTCATGAAGTCGGAATCAGATATTAAATAAAATATTAGAAAATGCTCTAACTTGTGAAATTATAGCAGATTTTCATGTTTTAACCAATGGGATGGATGGATTATACAATGCGCAATTAGCACCTTYTTGCATTCCTGTGCCGTTTGCTTCCCTAGTTCTTACTCGGGGCATTACTTAATATAGATTAAAATCATTCAATGGTAAAACTCCAGATCATTACACAATTAAAACTGACTAGCTGTGCTGTGCTGTGCTGTGCTGTGCTGTGCTGTGCTGTGCTGTGCTGTGCTGTGCTGTGCTGTGCTGTGCTGTGCTGTGCTGTGATTAAAAAACTATATATGCAAAGAATATAATGAGATTTTACGCACTATTGCCTCCCAAAGCTGAGTAAGAAGAACGGACTGTGCAAGATTTATCAGGAGGGGGGTTGAGAAATGAGCAAAAAAATGAAAAGAATGACATCCCCCCTGAATTTATTCATTTATTATTCGTGAAGACTTACCGCAAACCGTGGCACACTTTTCTTGAGAAGTTTATTAATCTGACACCATTGATTTTTCAGT